GGTGGCTTTTTAAGGTACGCGCAATTAGTGACATATCTGAGCATGCGTGCCTGTCAAGCTTGTCCCACAACCATGTGGACACAGCACTTTGTGAACATCCTTTCCTGGTGTTGGACCAGAAAACTGTTCCTCGATCGGCTCTGAAGAGAAGGCACACGTGTCTGGGGACACATACTCATTCGGATGCGCTACTGTGTAACTACATGCAGCGTTAGCTCCACAAAGCGACCATTCAAAGAAATGTAAGCGCACTCACCCCTCATGTTCAGGTGGCGATATGGACTGGCTTAGTTGCATCAAAGGTTCATTATACATTTGCTGTTCATGCAGACTGCCAATGGCTGAGGACGGCGAACTGACTCGACTTAGTAATGGGCGAGCGTTCCCAACCAGGATTGCACTTACTGCATTTCTCTTTTATCATTTCCGTACAATGAATGCCACCCAGAAGATTCGGCCTCCAACCAGGATCCCGTGGCTAGAAGGCCGGGAGTCATAGCGTTGCCATTACCATGAAAGGAATATCCCGTCGCGGCGGGTGTCGGTGGCGCCACATAGTGACTCCAACTTTCCGAAGTTGAATGAGGCCCATCGTGTGGCTGACAGAAAAGCGTGCTTGATCCAGAAAATTCCGACAGCCCGCTTGGATTTCGACCTGGAACTTGACAATGTGGAGCCGGGATCCATGGATATGCCGTTTCATCGTCCCATACACCCTCGCGCTGCGTACGAAATCGTATATGATTATTGTCGAAATAGTGGCCAATATTGGTACAAGCGCCGTTCTCCATGGCGTAATGAGTCGGCGGCTCCAAGACCGGATATCGGGATATCTGTAGATATTATTCTGCAATTAAAAGCCTAGTCAGGCTCCACAATGGCACCAAAATATTCTTGTTGGTCGGATCAACGTGCTATAAGGACGCTGGTACCTCGTTCATCTGTTGGAGATCTGGATTGATACTTCCGCTAATGTTAATATCAAGAGCGGTCTTGAACTCAATAACTATCCGCGGGGCAGAAATAAAAGAGCCATGTATCGGACCTTGGATTATTTCAGCTTCTCAGACCATTGATGCTCTGCTGTGGAAATGCGCCTGCCATGCGAGGGAACCTAGCGAATTGAACCTCATCCAAGAGAGCCTAAAGGACGACAAGAGCCTGAGCGCTGGCACGACACTCACAGGCATTCTTGACCGTATGCTTCCTCACAAATACGCAGACGCTCTGCCCTGCAACATCAATGTCGCTGCATGACCGAAATACAGAACACCCACAAATGTATTGGATCTTCCATCGCGTTCGCCAATCCACCGATGGTCATCGATATCTGACAGTAACACGACGCTTGCAAACGTTATTGGCTGGTATGAAGGTCCGTTGCACAGTCAAGTAGAGACCGTGGGGCAGGCGGGACAGCTGCGAGGCGACGGAATGGGATGCTTGACTGCCAGTGGAATAACGGGCGACGATGTTTCGACCGATGTGCGGAAAATGCATATTGTCATGAGGGGCGATGCGCCACTGGGACCAATTGACGACGGGTATATTGTCAGGTCGCTGCTCTGCATGATGCCGTCGCTAGATAACAGCTGCAGAGGCTGATGAGGCTTTACACTCCTCGAGCAGCTGCCCTGGTCTACTGTTTCTAACAGACGAAACGCGCTGCCCCATGAAAGGGCCCATTATGCCTTGGCAATCTAAGGCTGCACCGCGCACTGAGCCTAGCCCATCAGGCTGGTGGGCTGCAACAGCTACTCGGAAGGCTTGTGTCTTACCTCATAGCTCTCACGGTTCGCGTGTGCCTGAATCTATTCCCTTGTCCGCGGTGGTCGTCCCTGGCCCCAGAGCAGATCTGGAGCTGGCAATGTTGAAAGGCTGTTCTTGTGGGCCGGTATTCGATGACTACTGAACATATCATGTGGTTTTGTTGAGAACAACAAAAAATGATCGTGTTACCTTTACTGCTGGTCTCTCGTCTGACATTGCGAAGGATCGACGTCAATACAGCACGGTACCGGCTCCCGTCATTGCCACCGCAGCCGTTACCGAAGCTTCGCGTTTCGGGCCGCATCCCTTACCTATGCAGCATACATAGTACATCATACAAGGAAAAACCGGGTAAAGCTCCAGGAATTTAATAGGCGGGTTTTCAAAGACGTCGAAAGATTGTATACTTGGTGTGTCGTCCCCACCGATAGGAGCGGACAGTTTGCCGTCTCTATCATACCCGAAAGCAGGATTTCATGTAGTGCCGCCCTACCGGTTCGACTCGCATTTACAGGTGCCGAATTGCGAAACGGCTCGCCTGTGGTTGTATTGGCGTGACTACACAGCCTTGTGAAGTCAGGGGCGATGTACACGAAGGAGCTGTATTTTGCAGTTGTGTGTCGAAAGGTCACGCGTCAGTCCTGGGCACGTGTAAACATTCCTCGACTCATTGTTCCTGACGCAAAGACCATGAAATCTCCCAAGCATTGGTTCTCATGATGAGACGACGTGTCCTGCTAATGTTGAAGCTGATCGTGAGAAAGGACCTTGCTGCGAGCATGATTCAGACTGCAGAGGTGACGAACGAGAGTGCAGAGATCCTGATCGCAAAGGACAACAGCTTCGAGTCTGGTCCTGCAAGTTTGGCTACGTCAACGCTACTCTCGTCCTGGCGAAGTCGAATGTCTACGCATTACCATGGTCTCCCCACGGAACCTCGCGTGTGTAACGTGAAGAGTATACAGAAGAGCGGTCAAATCAATCATGCAGGTCTTCTTTTGTTTTACTGAGGTCCCAAAGCAGTGCCCCCATGCGTGGACGCGGAGTTTATGCGGTCGATATCTGCCAACCGTAGCACAAGTAGGCAAATTCCCTAGGCAAGTGTCGGAAGCAACACATAACACATACCCTGGGCCGCATCAAAAACGATGCTCCAGCGACGAACACGCGAGAGAGGTTTGTGTCTACGTATTCATGCACGGCATCGTAGCAAAATCCCTACGCTTCATACTCCCAGGACGTGACCTGGAAGCCGGAGGACGAAAGTATTCTGCATACGAGAATGTGCACTAGATCTAGTCGGTCCTCCTAGATCCCGATCGTCCTCGAGGCTCGCAGACTACAGGTCCTGACGCATCTGACAGAATGCCGATGATGCATGACATGTTTTGCTTGCGTGCATAATCGCAAAATCAATATCACTGGCTGCGGAACCGATGCTTTACCGTGGCGTCTGTACTGGTTGGTCATGGAAATCGCTGCTGACCGTTGAGCGTAGGAACGCCGTAGTTCCTGGTTCTTCTCACCCCCACGTCTACTACATTAGCGGTAACCAGCAAAATTCCTAGAAATGCTTGTTTGCTATAAGCAATGCTTCGTATTTTCCTCATGCCAGATTATGCGTCATTACAGTTCTTTCTTGGGCTTCTGAAGAGATGATGGCTGGCCATTGTATCTGTAATCCGTCTGACAACCTAGCTCACATGTGCATCATATCACACTTCATCACATCGCATACACTAGGTACCCCTATCTAAACAGCGAGCGCGTTCACTTAACAAACCACAGTAACTCGCTACCATGCTACTAACGGTCGTACAAGCAGCCAGCGACTGAGCATTTGAAACGGCCAGGTCTAACTTGCAATCGAAATTCGATTATGCAGAGGGTGCATGAGATGAGCTTAGTATACAGCCACTGCGTTTCCTCCAGCTAGCTAGGGTCTTTAGGGGGGGGGGGGGGCATCGAAGGATGATTGGCTAGAGGAGATGGGCGTTGGGGGTCCTCTTTAGGCGTGACGATGGCGATGGCGATGAGCATGTGTAGTGCAGTGCTAGATCAACGATTTGTTTTACTGGACCGTTCTTTGTCAAAGTTTTGGCCTTGCTTTGTGCTGTGATTGCGTCTGCAGGTCAAGGTTGCGGCTGGATGGCAGGGTCTTGTACACGGGACGGAATTTTTAGAGGACATTTGTGGTTGGCTTGTCTTGGAGCCTCTTCTTCTACTACATTGTGGGTCTGGAACATCAGGCGAAAGAGCCTTGTTACAGGTCCGTCGTGCATGCTTGTCCCGGATGGACTTGAAAAGCTGGTTTGTCTTGGGGAGGAAAGAGGTTAAAGGGGCCAAAACGTGGTCGTTGGATGATGTAAACGGATGATTAATTCACCCCGAGAGGTATCTAGGCATAGCGTGGCTTCCAACTGAACACAACCTCGCAAAAAAATCTAGATCGCACCTAGGTCTCCCACCCCCAGGCTATTGCTCCCTCCCCTGCAGAAACAAAGAACGATCTACTAAGTGCATGGGAGCTAGACTTGTACGATCCCGTCTCACGCCATCGAAAATGTAGAAAAGCATTTCGGAAAAAGGAGTTACAACGTCCGACCAGGGATGAGCGGAAACGAGCCGGTCCATAGCTCGCTTGTCAAGTCGCGAGACTGGTTAGTTAGGTACCGGTAGTCGGTCGTGGCGATGTTTGGATAGGCGTGGGAGCATGCTGTTGTCTGGGATCTGCCACGTTATGACAGGCATATGAGGTATTGCGGATGGAATGATGAGGCTTACCGGCATCATTTCAACCGGGCACAAAAAATCCTTGCCGTATTTCTCCATTCGCATGTTCGAGTCGAGAAAGCTGTGCCGCCCTGGAGCACACTCCTCTAACTGCGGTCCACCATTGGAACGCGGCGCCCCAGATCCCCGGGGCTCTCGATCTACAAGCTTCTTCGGGGCGGGCGGCAAGTGGAGACCGCTCACTGTTTGTTTGGGAGGAAGGACGCTGTGCTAACGACACAGCACAGGACGTCCTACCATCAAGTATCGTACCTTGCACGAGGAGAATTCTCCATTTCACGTTGCAAAAGCCACTTTCAACTCAATGGTTCGCTCGTCGCATACTTGGGTTATGTCCTGAAGCTTGGATGGTGTTGGACCGCCTGGAACATCTAGGTACATGACTCACCTGTCATACATTTTCGTTGTTTCGATGGATTGTACGCAGTTTTTGGCACTTTTTTTTCGGCGCAGTTTGAGTAGACGCCGTAAGCTGACATATTTCCCTACTGGAGTTAGAAGAGTGTTAGGAGGACAAAGCTTCTTCCCGTCTTGGAGCACCTGCAAGGACTCTGAATCTTTCAAATGCACATACAAGCAATGCCTTCTAACCATGTATTGGATTGGCCGAATTATCGCCCACTATACCAAACATCCGCGCGACATGCTCCACGCCGCAAGGCTTTCCGTTTGGCTGACGCTTATGGCCATCCTTGGGTGTTGGCTGATGTGGATGCCTGATCGAACGAAGAGGCAGAGTTGTCTACTATGGTTATTGCGCAAGATGGTGCCTAAGAAAATATGGAGCTGATATATGGAACTTGTAACAAGTGCAAGCACTCGTTCCAGTTTTTCTCATCAGACTAGCCAAGATATCATCAGGTCCGATACGGCTCCGACTCTAGTCCGAGGCCCCTCTGCCTCCAGATATAAAAGGAGCCTTATGCTCATAGATAGACAGACAAGTTCTTCTTGTCCTTTCGTACAAGACCTATAGGGGTAGGAATCTCATCCCTTTTCCATGCAGACGCGCACTCCCATATGCCTTTGAGTCGTATCGGATATCTTTCGGATGCCTTACTTACCTGCGTCGTTACAGAACTGGTCCCTTATCCTTTAACGTAAGCCGTGACATCAGGTACGAGTGGCAGCGCGGTCACACCTCGATATACGAGTTCAGCTATCGACAGACAGTGTCCCAACATTGCGAGTACCAGGACCTGAGCAGAACTCACCTGAATGAAAGTCGTTTTACATACCTTTTGAAATATTTATGAGAGAAACTCCGTGTGGATGCAATGCCATTGGTTCGTACCCAAGGCCCCAGCTTTTCTCACGTCTCAAGAAGCGACAGTGCCATTTTGGCTTGTAAACTGACTGACTCTGGTAGTATTTAGTCCAGCCAATTTGTTGCAGGTGGTCGACTCTTTCGCATACTGTATTGCCGTCAAAGGCATCTTTGAGCTTCATGGATTCACGAAGACAAGTGGGTCACTTTGTGGGTGAATTGAAAAAATTATTTCATTGTCTCCAAGCCATTAGCACATTGTTGTTGCTCTCCTGCGCACAACATGCTTTCCAAACCCTAAGGCGTACAGCAGAATAGGCTGATGCCATCAGTGCTCAGACGCGCAATGAAATGATCATCGCAGCGTCTACCTAATCCCGTCACAACTCACGCCTCGCCGACACCATTTCTCGCTCAGCCCAGCCACTCAATTTGATGGGTCGCAAGTCATTCTCCTTGGCAAACATTGGCGATTGCTCCTTCATGTTAATCCGTCAGACCCCTGTCTCAGAATGTCCGGGGTCACCGAAGATTCTAGAAGTCTCGAGATATCTGTGCGTGAAGTTGATTGACCATGTGAACTGTCGCTCCTCAACATCAGCCACAGCCCATTCATTGGAGTGACAGCTATTGACGATATCGGCTGCTGGTGTCAGAGGCTAACAGCTGAGGAGTTTTGATCAGCGATTTCTGGCCTGTTCGTCTGTGTGATTTAGACCTGACACATACTTCTTGAAAAAACTGTGGTGTTTATTCAAAGAGCTTGCGTCCAGTCCATCTGAAACAGCATACACACGTAAGTCGTCCGCGTCAGTGACGCGCCTAGAGCTGATTATTCGTAATTCTAGGTAAGCATGCTGTAGATTCACGAGAATATCCTTATATCTTTAAGACGATGGCCTTCGCGATGTTTCTTCCCCACGGTAGCGTCGCCGCGCGAACCTATTGCATGGTCCGCCGACCATGTGAGTAAACGAGATCGTGGAACCACATGAAGTCCATACCAGAATACGGCGTTGTCGCTGGAGCTCTGAAAGCCCACCTCTAACTCTTCACGATACAATTACGGTGATATTGGGAGAATTTGTCCATGGTTGCGTAGGCGCTCCAGTGTTGTGGCAGAAGAGGTGGTCGCGCGGTAGCAGTATCGTGTCTCGGACTGGTGATTGAATGTACTGTGGCCATGCAAATGTGCCCAGTAGATATTTGAACACTTCGGGAGGCAAATGATAAACACAGTTTCGATTATGTGACTTGTTCTGGCCCGGAACTGGCGTTCGAGACGAATCATCCTTTCATCGCAAAGACTGTAGTAATATCCTGAGAGCACAACACAGAGTATGAATGCGCAGGAAGTAATTCATATAGCAGCTCTATTATAAATTTTGTGGGAATGAACTTTCGTATTGCGTTCGATGTGAAAGGTAGGCTACTATTCTGACCGTGGTCGAGTCTTCTGCATGCCACACTTGTCAAATACGCCTGTCGATTGACGAGATAACTTATGTACCAGAACCAAGATTAGATTCAATGGCAGATCCCTGCTCCTTGCTGCGCACACCTCCACCTCTCTCGATGTCCTGATCCATCGATGATTCCCGTTGGCCGTCGTTGCTTGTTGGTGGCTCGGATTGTGCTGATGGTGCCATATGTTTTGCTATAAGAGGGCAGACTCAGCATACTGTATCAATAGAATGATTCCTTCTACTTACCTGCTTGACGAATACTTCGTCTGGTAACTGTTGGGGGCTTCCGTGCTGTCATAATGCGCCACACAACCTGAGAAGATAGTCTGAGTTCTTGTTTGAGGATATAGGAGGCATGTCAATCCGACATATTGAGTTTAAATAGTACTTTGGGGGCCATGAACAAGATTTGTGCGATGCTACGCCATGGAATCTTTTAAGCGACCGGAAAATCGGGCAAGAGTGCAAGGCAAGCATGGAACTACAGCCTCACCTACGTCTCTGCTTGGAGCATGGGGCACCTATCGTCTTAGCGTATCTCAAGCCAGGGCATAGAGACTTGTTGAGAGTGGTAAGATTGGCCAGTGGGCGGGAGGCGCAGTTTTAGCTGTGTGTTCTGAGGCATCTTCATTTCCTCAAACCTTTGACCAAGCGCGCTTCGTGATTGTGCAGGGACCTCTTTGACGTAATGTCGAGTCGTTATGCGAACTATAGAGGGGGTGAGAAACGTTCTATGACTTGATTGTGAGCACTCGTGACTTGGCTACACACATCGAATTGCGATGAGTTAGTACCGATAGAAGCAGAACAAGATTATCTCGTACGATGAATATAGTCTGCCTTGCAGATCTTAACTTCCTGATGTTTCTCTCAGGCATGTTAGAGACATGCATGGCTCAAGAAGGAGTAACACGTGACGGTGTAGTAGTGGATTTGTCTTGGCGCTAGGTAGCTACTACGAGGCGGTGAAGCGTAATTCGTACCGGTACCCTCTTCGTCCCCAACACGACCCTTCTTGCTTACTTCCGCTAGCTCAAGGTACCAATTTTGAAGCCATAACTTGCCAGCAGCTAATTTCTTGTTAGTATACATAGTGATTAAATCTTTAAGGACCGAAGTACTGACGTTGTGATCAGTGTGCATACCAGGAGTGAACGTCTTCCCATAAATTGTGCCGAGAACGCAATGGCAAAAGAAAACAACGACATTATCATAATGCGTAGTCCCAGCCCCTGGGAAACACCAAGCGTGCCAATTGCGACAGCCAAGGTTGATACCAGTAAAAAACATATAGCGGCTTCCTCAAAGCCCTCAATGATACCATTGTTGATATTCTCAAGGAAATAGTCGATGGGTCGATTCCGAAGTATTCCGAACTGTTGCAAATAATATATGACAGGCACACAGGCGTATTCGATTACTGGATCCATCAACCATTCTCGTAAAAACATACCCATTGGTTGGAGGTCGTCATCGTAAGACGTAGTCAGGTTGAACGGCACGGGCGCTCCTGGATTGCCATACATACTCAGCAACTGTCCATTGGCCGCTAATTTGACATGTCCGTCGACACTTCCACTGAGGGCACGAAACATGTCGACGTTCCTTTTTGCTGGCAAAGGAGCCGCTGCCATGCGCGAAGAGATTTTGAATACGCGATCTTTCATCGAGGTTAGCACCGAAACCTCTTCATGCCCTTCAAGTATATTTACCGTAATCGACAACACTAGCGAAGTATGATCTCATGACTTTTCTGAACTGCTTCTTAATCTTCTTTTCACTGACATCAGATCCCTCAAGCTTATGAGCATGCTCTCGCAGAAACTTCCTAGCAGAAAGCGCTTTCTCGTGGAACTCGCCTTCAAGATACTGTGATATACAAGGCAGATCCCTCCCCATTCTGTCGAACATAGCAAGCTGTGGCTGCTTGGCAATGAATTCGAAGGTATCAAGTTGATCGTGCAAAGCCGTGATTCGGGCCTGTGCTGAAGTTGCTCCCGGGGTTCCGTCCATTTCATAGGCTGTTGTCATTGTCGACAGGTGGATGTGAATGATTCAGGCTCTCCAATAATAGGCACGTGAGTCGAATACAAGAAGGGATAGTAGACTGATAATGTGAAGGGATGCCATTCTTATATTCACATATCGAATCTTATGCAACACCCCTTCACGTCAACGGCTCCTCAAGGGTGACAGCTGAAACTCTTGCAGAGAAGATCAGGATGGCAAGAAAGTCACAAAGGATTGAACACAACACCGAGGTTACCGGCGTAGGAACCCAATGAACATCGACCACCTAGTTCTTCACTACACCGCCCATAACCTTTTCAGCGATTCACAGGTGGAGAGTCTTCACCGGAAATTTTTTGCCGCAAGCTGTAATACGCCAGGATCCAGAGTGCAGGGCAACGTCGACGATCCTTTGGGCAATTGGCCATCCAAAATATCTTCGCGGAATAGAGCTGCAGGCATCGTGGACCCTTGTTATCATACAAGGCTGTGTTGCGTGGACAGGAGCCGGGGTCGCCTGGAGATGATCTGGGTTGATGTGCGATCTGTTGCAACTCGTACCAGGCGCATGCTCGGCCGGGGCTTTGGAACATCGCATACGGTGGTATAGCAACATTCTGTACTAACTATAATAGCAGGAGGGAAGATGTAGAGTATCGAAGTGCAAGTGCTGTTCCGGAAGCGAAGAACCCTCGTTCGCAAATCCTATCCCGACAAGACCCCGCAATATCCGCGATTGCCGTCTATCTTTAGTATACCGAAGAGCTGGTCATCGCTAGTAACTCCCTGGTCGAACACCTCTCACTCGGTCATTCAAACTTCCGTTGGATGTTTTCTGGTCATACAAGACGCTGTAACGGTCCTAGAAAGCGAGACCGCGTATTGAAAGAAGCAACCTCAGCGATCAACCATGTACGTTGTCACTGGCTTGAAGACGCGCTGGCCCCCAACGCGATGTCAGATGACTCCACACTACACAATATTATGCGGGGGGGGCAGGCATCTCAGTCGTATACTTCTATCTGTGGTAGCCTGGAGACCAATCGATCAGTCGAGCCGCCCGGCGTGGTGTGTAGAACTTGTGTGCCACGATTCTGCAACTAGCAGCTAGGGTGAATGTACTGCGCCTCATTTGCCATTCAATCATTTGAAGAGCCATCATGGGACCTTGATGTTGCCCTGCAAGAAATGTCGGTCAACATTTCCTACCATGCGGCACTCCATTACGCTGAGCCACGACAACGAAGACCTCCTTTACGATCCGCAAGGCCAGTGGAATCCAAGAGTAGCACACCTACAGTTATGCCTTTGAGCCTCATTCAAAGTGTTGTTTCTTTCGGATTGGCCAAGTATCGAGGACACACCGCTTCCTCCAAGAAACCATCAGCCTCGTCAAAACCTATCATCTAACGCCCACCCAACTGACGAGTTTCTGACGGAACATAGCGTGCAATAAATGCAGAACTGTTTGGACCAAACTTGTCAGCAGTGTCTGTACCAGGGTGAAGAGTTGATACTGAATGAAGCATTTTTGGAACTAGGACAGGCGCTCAACCAGAGACTCTACAACCTCAGTGACCTGCAGGTCGTGTTCTATTAAACTAGTAGGGGATTTTCACCACTCTTCATCTCTCTACGCATTCCTGACATTGCTGACCTGAACACTGTTCCACCTTGCGGATGGATATCATGCGCTGACAGAACTTACATCCAGATCCTTTAATACTGTCGTGCTTCGAACGGGTGCAGCGTGATTTGGGGTAATTTGATGGCTGTTGCGCCAGGAGACCGTCTGGTTGCTCAAAGATGTGAGTGGAAAATTATTTCTGGTGGCACCCCTGTCTTAAGTTCAGGTGATCTTGGAGTTGGTTGCATTGCAATAAACGCTGAAAATGTCATACGACCACGGAGGCGCTGGTCGGTACCGGTAATAGTAACTCATGATTGGTTGGCCACGTGACGTAACTACCGGTAGGTTTTGGCGGGGCTTGTTGACTTATGACGACGTCTGCTCTCTCTCACCATGTCTCTCACACAACAGTGAATGTGGAAAAAGGCTCTGTATGTCTTGCAAGAATTGTGGTTACACCAGAAATATTAGATCTGCATATCAATGAATCTACAGTATGTCGTCACCTTGCAGCTCTTGAAAGACTTACTAGTGTGCTTCCCAGCATCACAATCGCGATGCCGCTAGATTCGTTGCCGACGCAAGCGGGCGGCTCTTGTGAGAGTGCTGGTCAGGCCCGCCACTTTTCTCCATACTGACCTCTTGTTGTTGCCACCGGACTACCCATGAAAATTGAAGACGAACAAGCCAACTCCAAGGCATGCGACTGGACGGACCAACTCCCTCAAACCGACCACGTCCGTTTCATTCGTAGCATCGATTGGTCCCAGAGCGGACTGGGACCTTTGAAAGATTGGAATTCAAATCTGCGTCTGTTCACAGGGTTTGCACTGGCAGACTCACGCGCAGCATGTCTATGGTGGGGGCCCGACTCCATCGCCATTTACAATGAGCACTTTGTACCGCTGTGTGCAGGTATCCACCCCACACTAATGGGCTCAACATATGCGCAAAGTTTGCCTGAAATATGGCCATACATCAAGACGTTGTTTGAAGAAAGCCGGAGGACTGGTACTGGCCAGAATATTTCCTCGGCCGCACCATTGCTAGTAGAACGAAATGGGTATAGAGAGGAAGCTTTTTTCTCGGGAACATTCATTCCCATAGGCCCGCCCCATCAGCCTGAAGGCTTTTAGTAGGTGGTTGCTAGAAAATCAGGCCGTCTGAAGCTAAGATATGTCTCCAGTAACTCCGTCTACGAGGTGACGCAGCAGAAGCTCACTGATCGCCGTACCTCCATGATGAACAAGCTTGCTGCAGTACCTTCCCAAAACGTCGATGATGTTTTAGTACATGTTCTTGCCACTATGGAAACAAACCCCAATGATATCCCGTTTGCTATGTTATACAAGTTTAAAGAAGGTCTTGAGCCAAGCGTGCTACAGTCGCGAGGACAAATTGGGCTACCTAAAGGCCATGAGTTCCTCATCCAGAGCGCGCATTTCGAAACTTGTGATCAAGGGCTGATCCCTGACATGCGCCGTGCAGGCTCAGAGAACGTCGTCTTTGATTACGATCATAGATTCGAAGGCATTTCCTGGAAAGGATGGGGTTCACCATCCAAAAAATTTAGCCATATTGCCCATTAAAGGCACCGGCAGCCGCATTTCCGGCTACTTGGTAGTTGACCCCCCTTAATAGGCCATTTGACAGCCAAGCTCAATAATTTGTCAACGACCTTCAACGAACCATATCCAGCATTGTGTCAGCTGCCGTTGACTTTGACATGTCCAGGAGACGGCAGGATCAGCCCGTGGCAGATCTAGCTTTCTCTGATCTTAAGCTTCGTCATCTGATTAATCATGCCTCTGTGGGCATGTGTCACATCTCACTGAATGGCCGAATGTTTTGGGCTAACGATCATTATTACCGTCTTGCAGGCAAAACTCCAGAAGAACTAGAAGGAAGCCATGTCTTTTCCAATATGCCTTTTGAAGAAGATCAGATAAAGGCCATGGATGCTTGGGATGGTCTCCTTGCTGGAATAGGGCATGTCAGTATTGAAGTCCGCTCGCAACGAACATACGTCCCACCAAGCGGTGACGAGGAACCTGCACAAATTCAGGTTGTCGCATTTCCCTATCCCGAAAATGGCCACGTGAAGTCTATCATGGCTTGTACTACGGATATTTCGAGGCTGAAATGGGCGCAGGATTACCATGCTCGATCCGCGGCTGAAGCAAGAGAAGCAAAACGGCAGCAAGAAGCTTTCATCGATGTCGTTTCCCACGAGATGCGGAATCCCTTGAGCGCCATCGTACATTGCTGTGATGCTATTATTATGGCGGCGGAAGAGTGCCAGGCGCAGTTGCACATTACAAAAATACCAGCACTTTGTCTTGAAGCCCTCAATGATAACAGGCAGAGCGCCAAGATCGTCTTGCAATGCGCCAGTCATCAGAAACGCATTATCGACGATATTTTAACACTCAGCAAACTCAACTCAATGTTGTTAACTATCACGCCAGATGCGGTACAACCTGCAAAGATGATTCACTCTATTGTGGATATGTTTGAACCCGAGATGAGGAGCCATTCGATTCACTGGGACATCATCGTGGATGAGTCCATAGCTGACTTGAACGTAAACCGAGTCTATCTGGATCCCTCAAGAATCACGCAGATCTTTATTAATTTATTGACGAATGCCATTAAGTTTGTCAAGCCTTCAAACATGGTCACATCCCACACAACCCCTACTATCAATGTGCGCTTCGGCGCCTGCAGATCAAATTCACGACAAGCCTTCACGAGTAAAATGTATTGGGCTACTGGTCATCAGGACACCAACGTAACCAAGCACCCAGAATGGGGATTTGGGGAGGAGATTTATCTCACCTTCAGCGTTCAGGACACTGGAATTGGCCTTCACAACCATGAAATTGAGAAAATATTTGAACGCTTCCGGCAGGCCCACGTCAAGACTCATGTACAGTACGGCGGTAGCGGCCTAGGCCTTTTTATTTCTAAAGAGCTTGCTGAAAAGCAAGGTGGTGAAATCGGCGTTTGCTCAGCGCCAGGGCAGGGTTCCACTTTTGGCTTCTACATCCGGACTCGTCGTGAAGAAAAGCATCTCCCGATCAGGCCTAAGGCGATGCGCAGCGATGCAGAGACTACATCGTACCAGATGAATGTCTTGCTGGTGGAAGATAACGTCATCAACCAACAAGTACCAGGGAAACAGCTGAGAAAGGCTGGGTGCGTAGTGGAAGTCGCGAACCATGGGCTGGAGGCATTGCAGATGCTTGAGCAGGAGATATTCGACATTGTTTTGATGGATTCTGAGGTAAGTCTTTGTGGGCTTCTGCAGTAAACGATAGGTAGAGATGTACACTAACGCCGCGTGTCCACAGATGCCAATACTAGATGGCTTAGCCGCCACACGATCTATCCGAGAGCAGGAGATGATGGGCCAAGGCTTATTAGGCCGGGCGACGGCACTCGGTGCACAAGCTGGAGCTCGATTACCTATCATTGCTGTTACAGCGAACGTTCGCAAAGAGCAAATTGATCAGGCAATCGCTGCTGGTGCGGTATGTTGGCCCATCGGAGATTTTATGTCTGACAAAGACTATAAACTCACTTTAGAGTAGGACCACGTTGTTCAGAAACCATTCAAGGCCAAAGATTTAGTTCATATAACGGAGCAATATGTCGCAGTGGCAAAACGCTCTCCGGTCAAAGGCTGATATAAGAGACGTGTCGTATCCGTTACCAACGAAAGCGAGCCACTTGGAGGCAATCCTGTTCACCAGATCAACGAACATTGGAGAAACATGCCCGAATCGACCAAAGCTAGGTGCTGCGGTGTTTGAGCGCCAATAGGAACAGAGACAGGGCATTTTGAAGCAACACCTACATTAGGCATGTTTACGAAAGCAAATGCTCTGATTGACGTGTCAACAGATAAGCATTCTACGAAAAGCTGCAGCCTGGTGATTTGCGGTGCTACCATAGGAGCAAAGCAGTAAATTGCTGTCTCTCAATGTGAGCTACAGGTGCCGCCTGTGGCCACGGACAGTTCGGTCCGCTTCTCAGAATTTCTGGCTTTGGCCTATTGAAGATTTTGTAAAATGAAAATCTGGAGTTGGAGGACGTGAACTCGCGCTGATTTCTTGCAGACTTAGCTGAAATGCTGAAAGAGGGGTGGAGACGAAAAAGTGCAAATTTCCATATGGGTAGACACACACGTTATCAGTGCAGAACAGCCTTCACCCGAAATAAGAATTGCAATTTGAAGACGTAGCTACGGGGTAGAAGTATTTCAGCGCCCTCATCTGGCCTGCTATCCACGCGAGAGTAGATACGCAATGTTAGTCTACTATGCTTCTGGGATAAAAGCAACGCGCAGAAACATATAGCTGGTGATTTCCATGCGAGTCAATGTCTCAAATAGTAAAGGCTTGCCTGAACTTACTCAACTATAATCATTGCACATGGGTTGGATAGCATGAGTTGGCGAATTCTGGGATCTGAAAGACCAAGCTGCACTTTGCCATCTGACGATGTTGATGGAATGAGATGTTGGAACATGAGATTTTCTAAGATTGATACCCACAGAAAACAGAGGATTTCGGCCACTATATGATCTACATTAATTATTTCGGCCGGCACAGCCTTATCGCAGCCCTATTATAGATTATTATAGATCTACCACAGAACTACTGCGAACCCAGCACAAACCATCACGTGCCCAAGCGTACAACATACTGTAGCCTATTGTGTAGGAGTACAATACCTGCCGTTAACCCCACCACAAACTCCCCATCCAAGATCCACCGCAAGACCCTGGACCCATCAACACCACAAACCCTCCGCAAACCATCACGTGACCGTGCTCACCCACCTCCAACTCCCTCCCATACCCTTGCGCCTACACCGGCACACCAACCCATCATGGCCGAACCAAGCGACACCCACAGCGCAACCACACCCACACCCGCGCCCCAAACCCACATATTCCCCTTCCTACAACTCCCCCGCGAACTGCGCGACCAAGTAAGCACCACCACCACCACCACCCATCCACAGCACCATCTCCGCCCCCCCCCCCAAACAAAAGCATACCAAAATACTTACCCCTCCGTGAAACATAGATATACCACACCATCCTCCTCCACACCTCCCCCCGCGCCCCCCACGCCCCCCCAATCGAACGCCGCCATCTCGAGCACTTCACCGCAACGCCAGCATCCATCCTCCTGCTACTCCTGCACTCGGATGCGCTACTCGTGTCGCGCCAGTTTGCGCGCGAAGCACTCGAGGTGTTGTTTAAGCGGCATACGGTTGCGTTTAGCTGTGGGCCGTATGTGTTGAGGACGGTGTTGGAGGGGATTGAGGGTGCGGAGGGGGAGGGGCGGGTG